TTAATAATTATTAAAAATTAATAACTAAAAATTTAGTCAGCCAATAAATCGATTTCAGTTGAACCGCACCCACCCCCGCCTATTTTGGTATTTTCATTTTCTAATACTGAACATCCTACCTGCTATCTCTCTTTCTTTCTTTCTTTCTTTCTCACAGTTGGATTTAAAAGGTTATTTTTTTTATGGGTTTTTTATATAGATTTATAGGAATTTTTTTCTGACACATGTCAAACCTGTAATGAGTGTGCATTTTTTACATTATCATTTATATATTATAAAAGGCATAACTTAAAAATATGTGTCAAAAATCAAATAACTTATATTTGAAATTAGAAGAAGTGCTTAAGATGATAAAATTTTAAACTAACGGCTTTATGGTATGTTTAGATTAAAAAGAATAAAGAGAAGAAGGAAAAATGTATTTATTTGGTTATAAAAAAAAATTAAAAGAGAAGGGAAAATAATGTCATCCAATAGGTTTAAAGACAACTTACTGACCTATTAAGGTCTATTTGGTCAAAAAATAAAAATAAAAATAAAAATTAAGGTCCATTTGGTTACCTTTTCAAAAAAAAAAATTTAAGGAAAATAATACATACAATTACTTCATTATACATTAATTCTCTATTACTTAATCTATTAACTTCTTGTTAAGTTTTTTACCCAAAACATTAGCTCAATTTTTATGAACTGTCAATTTTAACAAATCAAATAAAAAAAACCATCAATATATAGTAGAGGATGTAACCAAATAGGTTGTATATACCATTTTCCTTCTTGCTAAACACCTTTCTGAAATTGTTACATGAGGAAATGGTTATTGGGCAGAAGTGGCGACTACCTGCAAAAATGAAATTTTATGTAATTAGTATGATCAATAATTTTATATACAATTAAATAGGTTTTTAGGTCAATGGTTCATCCTTAAATAATAGTGCTTGGGTTTAGTTAATCAAAAATTCAATTTTCACTTACTATTTGAAAATTTTCCCATTCTCCTATAATTCTCCATGTTTAAAAAAGATAATTTTATATAATTATTTTTAAATTAGATTTTATTAAGGAAAAATAAAAAAATATTTTTTTGAGTATAATCCATTATTTATAGAAAATTTTAATTATCAAAAATTGATTATTTTATTAAATTAGCAATTATTTTTGGAATGTGATTTTAGAAATGTGCAGCTAAACTATTATTTTTCTGAAAAATGAAAACTAAACTATTATTTTACTGAAACATTCATTTGATTTTTGTAAATTAGAATTATCTTAGTTTCATTTCGGAGTACTCATGCAGGGTTACAGCTGCACGCTATTTTGTCTAATTATATAAAAGATTAATTAAAATAAATATTAAATATATTTTATATACTAAAAAGCTTGCAAAGCACAATACTCCCATAGCGAACTTAAATTAGGAAATAATTCTCTACAGTACAACTTTTGAGTCAAACTAAATTATGAGATTAGTTCAGATTTGTAAAAAATTAAATAGTAAAATATTTTAAAATCATATAATTTTAAAAATTATCATGATAAAAGATTTTTAGTTTAAAAAAATTATTTTAGTTTTTTAAATAAAAATATATTGAAATAATGAAATTTTAAATCTTTTTTCCCTTTTGTTTTTTTTTCAAATTTAACTAACAAATTTTTTTTCATAAATTATTATTAGTAGCATAATCAACTGTTTCAAATTTTAAAGTCATTTTTCGTTCAATGTTGGAAATAGCCTACACTCACATTTTAGCGGAAATTACTTTTATGGGCAAGCAATTTCTCAAAAAACGATGTCTGCCAAACGCTGGCAACCGTTTTTGCCTTCGATTATTTTGAGACAATTTCTCAAGAATGTTATCAATCCAAACATACCCTAACCATAGATGCTAATCAAGTGTCACCGCATTTTTTTTTTTGTTTTGGTATCACTACCAATGCAAATGAAAAGGATGCCACATTAACATAGTAGATTATTTAATCCTTAATGCAAATATTGTTACACGCAATAGTGCTACTATTATACTTATAAAATTCAATCTGTAAAAATTTCAAATGTGAATTCTCTTAATTGAAAATTTTTTATTAATAAAAATTTAGTTAAATTGATATTTATTTAATTAAAATTTTAAATTT